TTCGCGATTATCTCGGAATCTATGGGAGATAGAGCCTTAAAACCGAATTAGGGTTGCCTATAGGAAGATGGACGGCTCAGAATTGCGTTTTTCCACTACCTACACCCTATAAAAGGTAAATTAAATTAATTTTTTTTTGCGATTTCGTTTTTCGCGATTATCTCGGAAACTATGAGAGATAGAGCCTTAAAACCTATTCCATTCGATTCCTGAGGAAATTTGGGTTCTCTATAGGCAGATGGACGGCTCAGAATTGCGTTTTTCCTTCTCCTACAGCCTATACCAGATAAATTAAATTAATTTTTTTTGGCGATTTCGTTTTTCGCGATTATCTCGGAATCTATGGGAGATAGAGCCTTAAAACCGAATTTGGGTTCCCCATAGGAAGATGCACGGCTCAGAATTGCGTTTTTCCTTCTCCTACAGCCTATACCAGATAAATTAAATTAATTTTTTTTTGCGATTTCGTTTTTCGCGATTATCTCGGAAACTATGAGAGATAGAGCCTTAAAACCATTTCCATTCGATTCCTGAGGAAATTTGGGTTCTCTATAGGCATATGGACGGCTCAGAATTGCGTTTTTCCTTCTCCTACAGCCTATACAAGATAAATTAAATTAATTTTTTTTTGTGATTTGGTTTTTTGCGATTATCTCTGAAACTGTGAGAGATAGAGCCTTAAAACCAATTCCATTCGATTCCTGAGCAAATTTGGGTTCCCTTTAGGCAGATGAATGGCCCAGAATTGCGTTNTTCCTGAGCAAATTTGGGTTCCCTTTAGGCAGATGAATGGCCCAGAATTGCGTTTTTCCACTTCCTACACCCTATAAAATATAAATTAAATTAATTTTTTTTGCGATTTCGTTTGTCGCGATTATCTCGGAAACTATGAGAGATAGAGCCTTAAAACCGAATTTGGGTTCCCCATAGGAAGATGCACGGCTCAGAATTGCGTTTTTCCACTACCTAGACCCTATACAAGATAAATTAAATTTTTTTTTTTTGGCGATTCCGTTTGTCGCGATTATCTCGGGAACTATGAGAGATAGAGCCTTAAAACCGAATTTGGGTTCCCCATAGGAAGATGCACGGCTCAGAATTGCGTTTTTCCACTACCTAGACCCTATACAAGATAAATTAAATTTTTTTTTTTTGGCGATTCCGTTTGTCGCGATTATCTCGGGAACTATGAGAGATAGAGCCTTAAAACCAATTCCATTCGATTTCTGAGGAAATTTGGGTTCCCTTCAGGCAGATGGACCGCTCAGAATTGCGTTTTTCCTTCTCCTACAGCCTATATAAGATAAATTAAACTAATTTTTTTTGGCCATTTGATTGTTTCAGTTGAAAACCAGAGTTAAAGACCAGAGTTTTTAGCAGAGATGCCAGACAAGATATGAATGTTTTTTTGGCCTCAAATGAAAGAGCGGGTCGAGAAATGGCGTGCTGATGCCTCTAAAGATGGTTTTGAACCAGGGGAGACTCCTAGACCCCAATGTTCTATACATGCTCCTAGACCCCATTGTCCTCCTAGACAATGTCATCACAACTTTGCTTTTCAATTGAAAACAGACATCATCTTTAGAGACATTCGTCATGTTTAGCGGCCTCAGCACGCCATTTCTCGACCCGCTCTTTCATTTGAGCTCAAAAAAACATTCATATCTTGTCTGACATCTCTGCTACATACTCTGGTCTTCAACTCTTATTCCAATTGGAAACGCTAAATATCAAAACGCCACCTATGAATGGCGGATATTGGGCTGCACACAGACAGTATGCAACCCAATTTGGGCTTGCGACAGCGTGTATATGAGAAACCTAAAATCGTCCATATTGGTGAAAACGAGCGCCTCCATCAGTAACTAGCGGTCCCAATTGATTTCGATTGTGTGTGAAAAAAAAAACACAACACCTTCAAGCAGTGTTCTGCCAAACCAGCAGAACTGCCCTACGCGAAATCTAGGCAGAGGAAACACAAACTCGTCCCACGTGATCTATCTGACTGACTCAGCTATAGCATACTTTTATATACCTTAGTGGAGGGCTCAAACCTCTCGTGCCATCATGCGACGAATTCTCATACTTCTTCTACATTATCGTTGACCCTCGATAAAACAGTTTTAAATCACATCTTGTCTTTCGTGTGTGTTGTGCAAGGTTATGTTTATAAAGTTTAATACCGAGCCGGAACCCGCGTACAATTAATTTGTTACCTACTCTCAAGTTTATTGATAAATAAAAATGGAAACGGTCACGCACTTGTGGAACTTGACAAACGCTCTTGTCAAGACAGAGTCTCCAGGTGCGAATAATCTCAGGAATCACTACATGTGAGTATCAATAACCTATTTTTTTCGTTCAGTCGTTTCGCTCGTAAGGGATTAATTTTTTTCCTTTGTTTTATTCTTATGGTTGATTGTTCAATGGAAAGACAATGCTGTCGCGATTTAAGCGATAAAGTGGAATTACCGAAAAACAATTTCGGTCCTGGGACAATGTGCTCTCATTGTGGCACCTTGTGGAGGCCTGTAAATACAACAGTGAGAATCAATAAAAGTAGAAACCACTCGAGGGGAATTAGGAAATTAATTCGTCGTCGGGCTGACGATGACTCTAGTTTATCGAATTTCAAGAGAAAATTGTTAGACAAGTGTGTTAAAAATCGAAATAATGAACTCGCGATTACGTGCTCTGTTTGTCATGAGAGGACGACAATTAGTTTGGCGAAACCCAAGAGAGAAAAATTGAAAATTGAGCATTTCGGGGAGGGCAAACTGCAGCAGGGACTCTTCAAGAAGAAGAAGAAGAGGAAGAGCAGGGATAAGACAGCTGGATTGATCATCAATACGCCGACCAACTCGGTCACAAGTAAAAGATCTTCGACGAATGGCGACGAAAAATCGACAGCTCACACTCCGCAGAAATCGCAGGTCAATAAGTTTAACAGGAAAGCACAGCCACAGGGGATTACACCAGTGCATCAACCGAAGCGAATCAACATTTCCAAGTTGAAGGCGATGATAGACACGACGATGACGCCAGCGAAGAGGACAAGCTTGCATGCATTTTTGACTGAACTTTGTTGATGCATGAAAACTTGACTGAACTTTGTTGATCAATAAATTTTATTACGATAACACGTTGAGATGTAATCAATTATAATCACCTCTGTTGCTGGCGGTAATACACTGATAGGAAAACATATTTTTACATCTATATTATCCCCTGGGCTATTCTACTCGGTCAACCTTAGATGTTTTTAAGGCATAAATTACAACTAAACTTATTAAACTTATTAAACTTAGTACACTTATTTTTATTGAGGAGTTTCTTTCTTGGAACAAGTACTATATACTTGGACGAATTTCAAATAAATAAGATCTTACTGTGAATATCAATTATTTATTCTTGAGATACATTTACTTGAATCAAATAAAACAGTCCTTGGTGTCGAGTCACATGTATTCAGCACAAAAATGGAAAAGTTCCATTTTTTTAAGCTAATATAATCTCCAGTCGAGAAATGTTCTACTTTCATGAATTGATCAAAAATTCGTATCTAGGAGATGATTACATTGGGTCATGAATTGAATGTTGTTTTCTCGAATGAAGCCGATGTTGAAATTGAGCTTTCCGTACATCACATTGAACGAAATTTGTGATGAACAAGTTTGTGTTGAATTGCCGTAATCTGTGATTCTGTTATTATAAACTAATGCAATTTTTTTAGTCAAGAAATATAAACTTCTTTCACCTCAACGACATCTTACTACAATCTCAAAGCTTTTTCCGCGTAACAATATTCATCCTGATTCGACATACGAAATGCTCACTTCAATTATAATTTACTTGGAACAACGTATGATCGTGTTGATTGAGATAACAACGTATTTAGTCATGAGAATAATTTTGATTTTTGAGTAAACCAACGAATTTCTGGGGTTAGCAAACTTTTGGCTAGAAAGAAATCAAATACTCTCATTATTGCGACAAATAAAAGGAACTTCAATTCTAGAGAAGATCGATTTCTCCCAATCAAATGGATCTCAAGAACAGAACTGCTATTCACTATAAAATCATATTTATTTGAAAATTAACAATCAAATGATAGTTGGTTCAAATAAAATTCTCTTGATAAAATTATTTTTTTCTGTCAGTGTAGGTATATTTATCAATCATAATTACCGTTGAATTGTGTAATAGTCAAGTTTTAACATAAATCTTGAAATTTTAAATATTAAATTAACCATCAATTGGTACATCCATATTTTGAAATATTATAGTAACCAATAATTTAGGTAGGAAGATTGACGATTATTTCGATAATCGAAAATCAAGTACTTAAATTTGGAATTAGCTTGTTAACTAAACATTCCATTTCAGTATTATCAAATATTTTATTCACCATCAATCGGAAAATTTAGTTATTAAATGTTATAATATTTTATATTTGTTGAATATAGTTAAACTTTGCACAATAGAAGGAGATAATCCTCCTTAATATTGTCAAAATCTTATATTATTGGGATCTAATATTATCTCCTATTATTGGGATGGCCAATAGTCCATCCCTGATTGCTGGTGATTTTGACACACTGCAAACATTAAAATTGATTTTTTTTCAAGGGTGATGACTTTTTTAAATTGTTTACGGTGATGACTTATTGAATTGTTCTTGAAGTGTGACTGATACATGATGAATTTGTTTCTGGGTCTCTGCGAACATTGGAAAGAAAATGGTTCCACCATGTCTTGCACAGAATGGGACTTTATTTTTTGATACACACTGAAAGAAAAACAAACACGTCGTAACAAATTTATTAATATTCAGTTTTATCAGAAATCAATTTCATGTCTAAAAAAATTAGGTTTTCGACAGTTGAAACAATTTCAAAGATTTATTTATAAATGAAGCTGAATATACCTGATTTGTTTTCAAATTTTTCTTACGCAATTTAATTGAAAAATTTGATAATTGAAAATGGTTGGCTTTGCAGGTCTGAATTTCAATCTTGATTTTGAACCGTTAAAAAACGTGTGAAAATCTAAAAAAAATAGAAAGTTGACTTTTGGAGGAAAATTGATGAAATGATTTAAAAATTGCAATTTTTAAAAATCACGAACATTTTCTGTAAATAATTTATAAACAATTTTCGACTATGAAAATCATTTGTTCGGAATCGTAACAAATTTATTCATATTCAGAATTTTACGAGAAATCGATTTCATGCCTAAAACAAGAAAGCATTTTCAAGAAAAAAAAATTAATCGGACCAATAGTTTGTGAGATATCGAACACAACAGTTTTTCACAAAAAGTTGAATATCTTCTAAACCACTTGTCCGATTTTGCCTACCGACAATCCCATCCTGTAATATTATAAGAGCTGCAATCTCACCAAATTTCAATAGCCTATCAATGTCCTATCTAAATTTTTAGACTCGAGTTTTATGAATTTTATGTTTTTCTGGAAACAATTGTATTCGATTTCTATTGAACTTTCTATTAACTTTCGGCCGATTTTATTGAAATGTTCAATAATAGTATCTTATGTCATTATCAATGTGTGTGATTATTGTTATTACTGCCACTGTGAGATCTATTGTATGTTGTCAACAAAATGTACAAAAGAAGAAATTCATATACTTAAGGAATAAATTATTATTATTAGTATCTTATGTCATAAGGCGATAAAAGTATTATCTGGCGAATGTGATTATAATCCTTGCCTTCGGCTCAGATTATAAACTCACATTCGCCAGATAATGCTTTTATCGCCGTGTGACATACGATATTTTATGTCGTTGGGCCCGCTTCGCTCGGTTAGATCGCGGTTTATCGGGCCTAATGACATAAAAAATATTCTACAAAAAAATCACTGGAATGCGATTTTTCTGTACAACGTATTCAATTGAAATATTTTCTATAGAATTTCCTCTGCTCAAATTTCTCAAGTTTTTTTCATTCCATTTTTCTTTTCTTTTCATCAAGAAAATCAAATAAAAAAACCTAAAATATAAAAATAGTCTTTCTATAGAATATTTTCTATTAAAAATTTCAATAAAATCTGCATAAAATTGATAGAAAGTTCAATAGAAATCGAATAGAATTCTCTAGCGAATGCGCTAGGTTTTTCCATTAAATTTTTTCCTATCTGACAGATCGAACAATGTATAATCGGAATGGTACGTGACAATTTAGTAGAATCCGCGTGATTAAAATATACAAATTACTATAATTACAACTTTTCTTTAAATATTTCTGAAATGTACGATTATACTTCGGTGATCCACTGAGTAACTCAGTGCACACACTGACACCCGTATTCGAGAGATGGCGCCAGTAGTACTACCACAGCCACCAATTTGAACCGAGAATCTCGCTGAAGAGTAAAACCAACGTCGCGCTAGAATATCTAAAAACGTCTAAAAACGAATACGAATCCCAAATATTAAAATTCAGAAGGATTCCGCCGAGGAATATTAAATTTGCTCTGCAATAGTTTTACCTGGATTCACTATTGAAATGAGCTGTGAGTGAAAATCTAACTGTTCTGTACATCTCCGCGGTATATATTCCTCACGAATTCCGCTCGAACAGACACTGACGTATACGTCACATATCACAAAGTTGAAAATAGATGCATTATACGGAGAGGGAAAATAACGGCCACGGGATGACACTTGAATTTCAGTGTAAATAGGATATAGAATTTAATAGGTAAGGGCGGAAAAATTAATTACTTTCGAACATACGATTCTGGAGAATTAATATTTTATGTTGAGGTGTCATGGAATTTTCCATCCCATTCCTTTCTCTAACTCTTCGTTCTTGTGTCGATATTGTTTATCAAGCAATTATTCCCATTATCAGGATATTTTGTACGAGGATCTCAACTTTGGATCTGGAAAATGCGCGCAGAAACTATTCCGCATTATTCGCACTATTATTTCGCGTTATTATTCATTCGACTTAGACCTTCGCTGAGTTTTCGAGGAATATCTCGGAATCTATGAGAGATAGCGGAATTTTCGTAATGACCTTTTTTGTAGCGCTCCATTCGCTCTACAAAAAAGGTCATGACAAAATTTTTGGTATCTCCCTTAGACTTGGAGATATTCATCGAAAACCGGCCAATATTCAAAATCGACTTGAACCGTTTCAGCGCTTACGTCATTAATTAAAAAACGCTAAACGGTATATTTCAACAACAATATAATATATTCCTTCAATGAAACAGATAAACACTTCGTTGAATTTTACACTGATTCACCAAATTTGGATTATTAAATCGGGGGAAATTGGTTTATTTTTAGTTGAATGCTCTGACATTTATTAGACCCTCGCGTATGGCGTCCATATGTCACATGGGCCCAAGCAGAAAGGCATGACTCTTTCAAAATTTCAAAATCATGACAGATACTCCAATCGGACCGACATCATTGGAAAGCTGAACAGCGCAGCTTTAATTCCATATGCATTTAATAATTTATCATCCATCAGGAGTTATCGAATCTCAGTGATAGTGACCCCCGCGAGGGATTAAAAACCACGAGAACTTGTGAGAAAAACAATCCTAGAGAGTCGTCCACAATAATTTCGGATGTTCAAAAATAACTGGTGAAGTTTGACTAAAACTCCTCCGAATTTAAACCGGGTAACGGCTTTCCACTGTAATTTCCAAGGGGAGGAGCTCCAGTCGGTCAATATTACAGTTTCATTGACTCGTAGGTAACACGAAGCCGTCAATTTCCAATCGGGATTGAGTGACTTCTCATTCAAATTTTGTCTCCGGCAATGTGCGCATGTGATATATCAGCAATATCTGTCTTCTATCCCGTATGAAGTAGATAGAAAGAGTCTCATTTGCGTCCAAAAACAGTAGAAAGGACAAGTGAGTGGAGTAGACTGCTGATGCTCATGGTGCCTCGTACGAACCGAGCACGATTCTGCTGCACAATACGCATGGCTATTCTATATATTGGATTATTGCTGTTCGCCTACACAGTATGGGCGAACAATTCTAGTCAACCCTGTGACATCGACTTTCCCACATCTCCAGTGATTCCGCATGAGCCAAAAAGTCCAACGGGAGAATTCC